GTGGAGGTCCTTAAGCCACCAGTACATCCGAGGCTAAATCTACGAGTCTGAATTTTAATTTTGCCGAGCCTGGAAGCAAAGGGCACCGGCTTCGGGAAGGTTCAGGGTGGCACTGGTACTGCCGTCTGTGCTGGACCATCTGCCGGCACATGGAACAAAAAGGTGGCCGTGTGTTTCCAGATTTTGTTCATTTGCCGCCGAACCCTGGCCGTAATCGTAGTCAGATCCATTCAGGAAAGTGCTAACGTGAGAATGGTGTGAAATGAAAGGGGCTGACAGGGAATGGATTGCTCCCCGCCTTGCATGGGGAGTCTCATCAGAAACAGCCACTACTCTCTGAGGAGCAAAAGAAAGGGCAGACCAAGCGCGGAATGTGATTGCCTCACGGGAAGTGTCATCAGAAACAGCCAAGATTCTTTGTTCCTCAAACAAAACAAAAAAAAAAAGGAAAAATGAAGGGCATACCAAGCTCCGAAAGTGATTGCCTCATAGATTCACCCACCGTGGGCAGAACTCCAGTCAGATACGTTTTTTTTTTTTTTTTACAGATGGACAAGCTTTCCCGGGGCGCCTTGCCCGGGTAGGTGCCTCGCCCAGGGTTCCCCGGGCATGACAAAAATCCACCGAATGTTTTTTTTTGGTCTACGGGGGTTCGCTGCTCTGGCCGAGTACTGCCCAAATCCGCCCTCTTTTTTTTTCCAGCCATATTGGTTTCTGTTGGGAGGAGGGGGGGGGGGCTATGGTGGGAGAGAGGAGGGAGGACTTTGGCGGGAGGAAGGAGGGAGGACTATGGTGGGAGAGAGGAGGGAGGACTTTGGCGGGAGGAAGGAGGGCGGACTATGGTGGGAAGAGGGGGACTATGGCAGGAGGTAAGAGGACGTAGGAGCAGGACTCTAGTGAAGGTAGGAGGAGGTAGGGGAAGAACTCTAATGAAGAAGAAGGAAAGAAGAAGAGGACTATGGTGTCCCAGAAGGACTGTAGAGAGTAAGAAGAGGAAGAAGAGATGACAAAGAAGAAGGGAAGAGGAAGACTAAAAGTGGGAGAGAGTAAGAAGAGGAGGAAGAAGAAGATAAAGAAGAAGGGACGAAGAAGGAGGGAGGGAGCCTATGGAGGGAGGAGGGGGGGGAAAGGAGACTGATGGAGGGAGGGAGTCTAACGAGGGAGGAGGGTGGGGAAGGGAGACCGATCGAGGAGGAGGGGGGAGGGAGTCTATGGAGGGAGGAGGGAGTCTATGGAGGGAGGAGGGAGGCTATGGCAGATGGAGCCGAAATATAATCAAGCATTCCCCCCCCAAAAAAAAAGATGATGATTCGTTGATGAAGCACTATGGCGGAGGAAGAAACAGGGAGAAGCAGACGCAGAAGAAGAAGAAGAAGAAGAAGAAGAAGAAGAAGAAGAAGAAGAAGAAGAAGAAGAAGAAGAGGCGGCAACAAGAAAGTGAAGAAGAAAAACAAGAACCAATGAAGAATAACAACAAATAGAAGAAGAAACAACAAAGAAAAAAAGAAAAGAAGACGAAGAAACAACGAAGAAGGAAAAGAACACGACGAAATGGCGGAGAAGAAGGAGAGGAAGAAGAATGAGACAAAACGAAGAAGAACAAACAAAGACGTAGCAGAGATGAAGAAGAAGAGAGTAGAAGGAAAAAAAGAAGAAAAAGAAGAAGAAAACTTACCTGAGTAGGTGATGGAAGCTTAGGCAGTCTTCGTCAGGGGCGAGGAGGATGGTGCGGCTGGACGGTGACGACAGTGGCGCGCCAGAGGGCAGCAGGGTGATGACGATGGCAGCTCGGCAGGGCGACGATAACGATGGCGCGGACAACCACGGCAGGGCAACAACGGCAGGGAAACAACGAACTGGCGCAGGGGGGTAGGGCGGAGGGCGCAGGGCCACGCGGTAAGTCCCAAGATTCAAATTCGAAATCTTGGGACTTCTGCGCCATCGATCAACGCAGATCGACGGCCCAGGTCCCAAAAAAAAAACTACGCAATAGAGCCTACCGGACCCCAAAAAACATTGGCGCGGCCCGGCCGCGGCCGCCAATTTTTTTTTTCCCCATCTGGGCCTCCAGCCCGCAGCGCCAAAAAGAATTTCAAACGGATTTGGGGGCCGGCGCTGTGGGGGCCCGGGGGCCTGGCCGGGGGGCCCACACGGCCGGGCGACCTGGGGTGGCCCGGGCGTCGGGGACCGTACGGGGGACCCGCTCGGCCGTGCGACGATCCATGCGTTCCGGGGGTACCCGTGCGCACGGAATGAAGCCTAGGGCGGCCAAATTTTCCTTTTTTTGCATCTGGGCCTCCAGCCCGCAGCGCCAAAAAGAATTTCAAAGGGATTTGGGGGCCGGCGCTATGGGGGGCCGGGGGCCTGGCCTGGGGGGTCGCACGGCCGGGCGACCTGGGGTGGCCTGGGCGCCCGGGCTGGAAAGCTAGCAGATGGAAGGATTTTGTATTATACAAGCCGGGAAAGTCAGATACATTTAGGAGTGTGCTACCGTGAAAAAATGAAAATGCGGGCCCTTTTTTTTTTCGGCCAGCTTTTTTTCGTTTTTTTTTTCTGCGTTTTGCTTTTCGTTGTTCTGTCGGCCGTAGTGTTTCCACTAGCGCGGAAACCTGTAGGATAATATGCTGGACATTTGAAATTTTTTGTTGGGGCCACGTCCTTGGCCCCCCGTCGCACTACCGGGGCTTCCGCGAGCCCCAAAAGCTTCGGAGAGGCTCATTTCAGATTCTCAATTTGTCTGGGGCCATGTACTGGTGGTTTAAACCAGCACTTCGTTTCCCACCCATTTTTCTCCAACATGCCTTGCACGCTGCCGCACCTTTCAGGGGTGGGCTGCCGGAGCAAAATGGCTGGCGGGCCCAGCCAAAAGATTTCGCGTGCTGGTTCGTTTTTCTTTGGCGCGCAGGGCGTTTGGGCCTCAGGGGAAGAAAACAAAGAGGCTAGGAAGTAGTGGTGGTTTAGCCAAAAAAAACAAAAAACAAAAACAAAAACAAACAAACAAACAAACAAACAAACAAACAAACAAACACTGCAAGGTAGGGGGAACACTATCACACCCCATTATAACCCTGAGACAACAAGGGCCCGGAATAACTAAAGAGAGGCGGGCGGGGGGGGCACGGGGCAGACTTTTTTCCGTGCTGCTGTTCTCACCAAAAAAAATATGCCCACCATCATTTGAACATGGGGAAAAAATTCGAAATGAGTATACACCATGGTGTCCATAACATTACACCCCCCCCCGGTCCCCCCTCCTTTGACATTTTATTTCATTTTCAATATTCAACAGTAGATAGTATCGCAACGTTTCGGCGGCGCTCGCAAGTCGCTTGGCCGGCCCCATGCTGCGTGGCTCGGAAGAGCGCGCCGTAGCGTACGCTTGCTGCAGTAGCAGGAAATCTAGTTTTTTGTCTTATATGCGGTACGCATTCTTGTTCGACTCTTGGATTGAGATCTACAGGCTTTGGAAAAAAGAAAAAAAACTAGTTTTCTTCTTCTTACAGCTCTAACATATATTCAATCACATTTACATCAACGCGAACAGACAACCCGTTAGTAAAGATACAAATTCAATCAAATAATTCAAATTCAAATTTATTAAATCCAACGAACGGGCTGTTAGTGGCTCTAACAAATCAACTGCACAGTGCACACATCTCAACTTACCTTTCCGACTCTTTGCGGCTTGTGCTTCGCACTCGAGCCCCAGACCAAAGCACTGCAAAAAAAAAAAAAAAAAAAAGGATCCCCCCCCCCAAAAAAAAA